GAAAACATATAAAATAGAAATGAAAACTAATTAGTATTTTAAAACTCTTTGATGAGAGAGAGAGAGAGAGAGAGAGAGAGAGAGAGAGAGAATGTCGGAGTGATTTAGCATTAAAAACCTGTTAATCAATAGTAACCACAATTATGCTCTCATAGCGTAACTCAATCACCTGAGTATTGACTGAGCATTAGTTATGTTATTCATTGCACACATTGTGAGCAATTATTATAAGAATTATTATCCCTTTGTTTTCATAAAAGAAATTTATATTTTCATTACAATTAACATGTTTTTAATAAATTGTAAAATATGTTAGAAAAATAACTCTCATTTTAGGAAAATTGGGGAATTTAACAATATTATGTCAACACCAATACAATCACAATCATAATAAATGAATGAAAGGGTAGTTTGAAAGTTAACATACATTTCTATAAATCTGTCCAATAATGCCAGTGACGGACCCATTCTGACTCCAACCGCCGTATTCCGTATGGTTTGATAGTTTCAATGTATACGTGATTTTAGCGATGCGGGAGATCTCGTTCAGTATATCAATGGCCAGCCCTTCAAACTGACCATTTTCTAGTTGGTTAGCGTACGGCCAGTTCTATCAAAATGCAATTATATTTTTATTGACTTTTCATTTATGATTAATTATAACATGATATTAATTGGGTTGCAATTATAAAACCAGTTTTTGTTTTTCATGCGTTATCATTACAATAGAAATATTTGGACATTTAATTATAGGTATTTTGTATATTAAATAAATGAATTGATCGACAAATTCAAGGATTTATCGCCTACTCTATTGATGAATGATGAGGACAATTGCAACGCCTAACTTATTTTATAACTCTTGTTATAGTTTTATTAATTATTGTGGTTTTTATTTACAAATCTGTTTACATCTTTATTTGCATTTTATTATTATTTTATTCTTTATGAATATAATTATCTTTATGTCAAATATTAATCATATTTAAATTAAGCTCAAATTAAAATAAGTTTTAAATAAATTTAATAACTATTAAAATATTACATATCTATTGATTGGAACAATGTTTAAAGTTTGGCATTTCTATGAACTACTTATTGAGAGCTAATGTTATCATTTAATTCAATTTTTATCATATATTAAGAATTCAATTAAAACAAGAGATAAAAATAGGAATTTAGTCAAAACAATAGAAAAATATACGTAAAAATATACCCGAATGGTTAATCCTCGCAGTGGTTCACATGACACTATGTATAGACAAGTTGTACACAAAATAAATAAAGAGATGTTTAAATTAAATTTGTGGTCCATTTCTTGTAAAACCGACGAAATATTTATATATAATATTAAATGAAAGACAAACACATAATAACAGTCAGAGACGAACTAAAATGTTTGAATTTTGTGCACACAATACAGGAGTACCCGAAATCATAGCACAGATTAATAAGTAGGCGATATTTACCTTGAAATCTCTCTCTCTCTCTCTCTCTATCTATCTCTCTCTCTCTCTCTCATCAAAGAGTTTTAAAATACTAATTAGTTTTCATTTCTATTTTATATGTTTTCTTTGTCTTTCAGGATATCTTTATATTTTAGGTTTAACAGCATTGAAGTCAATGTTAGATAACATACACACATGTATTGTACAAATATATAATATTAATTGTATACGAATTAATATTCTTATACACTATAAGATTCATAGTATCTATTTTCCAGACCAGAAGTTATATGTTATCAAAAAACAAATGAATAACAAATTGACGTTTTAGTCAAATGTTTAAATGTAATATTTTTTGTGATAATATGCTCTCAAATAAATAATTATCAACACATATACAGTTGATTACGTAATTTACAGTACTTTAAGGGCAAAGAACACGGTTTTATTGGTATCTGAATTGATTGTATGTAAAGACTGTCCATATTGGGTGACCTAATCCTCGATGGTATAGACGGTGTGTTTTCTCCACTCATCCCTCACGGCATACGACGTGAGGAGCCAAAGGACGAGCGCCGCCACTGAGTTCTCCACCGCCAACACTAGCCTAAAGAGTCGGAACTGATGGTCAGTCAACTGTCGCCGCTCTCGGCATCGGAAGCGGTTGTGTTGAGCCAACAGAGCGTTATATCGGTTCAAATCCATGCGAAACAGCATTACAATAGACGTGATGAGTATGAGTGAGACAAACACCGACAACACACACAACGGTAACAATGATTTGTATTCATGGCGTATGAATTGGATGAAGGGTTCGCGTCGGACCACCACATGACAGGTGTAGGCTCTCTTGCAGACCCGGCACCGGTCGGCCCAACCGCTCGTCTGAATCCATGTGAGCAAACACTGTCGGTGAACGTGTCTGAGAGTACCGCTGCATCCGCACGGACTCATCATTTGGTCGGCGCTCTCCGTCTCCTTACATATGCGGCACTCTTTCACAGCCGCAGCCGTCGGCCCTGTCTTTCCTACCGTTTCACTCATTTCACTGCATTTTCCGATTATTTCACTTCAATTTATAGCTCTTTAAATCTTGTATAAAATGTATTTTATTTATTTGCTTAAAAATTGTTTTTATTGTTATACAATATTATGAATTTAAATTCTATATTTTTAGATTTTTTATATTAGTCACTAATTTTTATAAAAGTTTTAAATTAAGATTTTTGGTTAAATTACTTTAAAATATCGTATAATATTTGTAAAGTAATAATTAATCTTTGTTATTTATTTTGTTAATTTTTAAATTTGAATTTTTATTTAGATGTAATTTGTTAATATAAAATTGATTTTAAAAGTAATAAATAATAAATATATTTAGCTTTAATTCTAACATCATATTAAATATTGATAAATAAAAATTTATATTTAGAAAAATTGAATATAATTTGATGTTAACTATTGAAATCACAACATAAATAGCATTTAGTGAATGTGTTTGGCCTCTATGTTCAGCACTGGTAGTGAAGGCCGGTTATTGTCATTCCCACCGATATATTCGTGGGACTCGACCCCCGATAATGCCTTTCTTCAGAGATCCTCATGTGTTGGCGGTTCTGAAGGGTAGGTATGGCTAATACAGAGGCCATCCTTTCATACAATACTAGTGTTTAAATTTACAAATTTTTATTGAGACTCATCGCTAATGCTATTAAAAATTATTTACAATTTGTTATTACAATTCTATACAATTCTACTTTAATTACTATAAATAAAAAGTTTACATTCCATATATAAATAATGAAAATGACTAACAT